TAAGAGACTTTGACTTTAACATATACCTATTGCCTTCATCTAAAATGAACTCAAAGGCCTCCGCTGGTGGCACAGCAGTTGACTGCTAGGCTGCAAAGCTGCCCACAGCCTCTGCAGATCTGGCTCTATACCTGGATGCCAGCAAGGGTCCAACATGGTGCGCAGATCTCTCCTGCCGCGCCCACTGCTCCCCTCAGCAGTGTACTCCGTCACTATGCATGTTCCGTTCCCTGCTCTGGCTCTGGTGAATTCTCTCACCAGCCAGTGCTTCTGACTGTACCCAGTGCTTGCATAAATCAATAAAATTTAAAAAAATAAATAAATAAAATGAACTCAAAATAGATTAAACTTAAATGTAAAACCTCAAACTACAAAATTGGTAGAAAACATATGAGAAAACCTTTGTGACCTGGCATTTAGTAAATATTCATTAGATAGGACACTAAAACATAAGAGATAAAAGAAAATAAATTATAAAAAGATTTCATCAAATAAGAAATTTTTTGAAAGACGATATTAAAGAGAATATAAACCATAAACTAGAAGAAACAGTTGTGAACAACTATTTAAAAGTACTATGATAAAAGACTACCATCCAAAATATATGAAGACTTGGGGCCGCCCTGGTGGAGCCAGTAATTAAGCATGGCACTGTGAAGCTATCCACAACCACTGCAAACAAGTTCAATCCCAGGTGGCCAGGGAGCTACCCACATGGTGCAAAAACCTCTCCTGCCTCTCTCAATTCTCCCCTCAACAGTGTATTTCAGTAGATCTGCCTGTTCTTCTCCCCATTCTCTCTGGTGAATCCTCTTACCTCCTGCACCTCTGGTTTCCACCCCAGTTCCTGATTCATAAATAAATAAATCTTTCCAAAATACCACTACAGGTAACACTACACACTTATCAGATGTCCAAAATTAAAACAAGAGACTGGGCGCGCAATGAGTGGGTCCTGCATCGTCATTTTAGAACAGGGACATTTCTTCAGTAAAGACTGTGTGAAACCTGCAGAATGTTCCTGGAGGAGCCAGAGGTGAGCTGGGAAGTTCACCCACACCAGGCCCCTTCTGGCCTACAGTCCAAGCCCAGAGGGGGAGCAGGAACCCTCCACCGGGGCAGACCGGGCACACAGGGAGTGCGTCCCCATATCCCCACTTTAGAAGAGGGACATTTCTTCAGCAAATGCTGCTTAAAACCAGCAGAAGGTTCCCGGAGGAGCCACAAGTGAGCTGGGAAGTTCGTCCATGCCAGGCACCTTGTGACCTGCAGTCCCAGCCCAGAGGAGGAGCAGGAACCCACCGCTGGGGTAAACTGGGCAATCAGAGGAGTGAGAACCCGAATCACCTTTTTAGAACAGGGACCTTTCTTCAGAAAAGCCTGCTTGAAACCGGGAGATGGCTCCTGAAAGAGCCAGAGGTGAGCTGGGAAGTTCGCCCAAGATGCCAGCCAGTACCAGCAACACAGTGTCCCAATGCACATGGCAAATTAGAAAACAGACAGTAGGGAGTAGAAAAGCCACATGCAACCCAGCAACTCCTCAGGAAAAAAGCACACCACAAAAAGAAAACCACCCCCCAGATTGCAACGACAGTAACTTGGAAGAACTTCTGAGTCTTCCATAAAGAGAATTTAAAATTACCATGATTAAAAAACTGACAGAAGTCATAAAGGAAAACAATAATAAGGGAAAAATAATCAACGATCAGAAGAATGAAATTGAGTCCCTAAAGAGGGAAGTAAAAGAAATGCAGGAGATCAAAGAATTAATGGAGGCACTAAAGAACTCTGGGAGAAACAATGAGAGCAGAATAGATGAAATGGAAGAACGAATAAGTACTCTTGAAGACACAGAAATAAAAAGAACCAAAACAGAAAAGGAAAGAGAAGTACGAAGGAAAAAGACCGAAGAAAGACATCGGGAACTATCTGACTCCATGAGGAAAGGAAATATAAGAGTTATAGGAATCCCAGAAGGAGAGGAGAGAGATGTCGGAACAGAGAAAATATTCAAGGAGATAATTGAAGAGAACTTCCCAATTGTGATGAAGGAGCTGAAAATTGATATACAAGAAGGAAGTACAACACCAAACTTCCACGAAGAAAGGAAAAATAAAACAAGACACATAATAGTAAAGCTCCCAAGAATCCAGGACAAGGAAAAAATAATGAACCTGACAAAAGGGTAGAGACAGATAACATTCAAAGGAAAACCAATCAGACTGACATCAGACTTCTCCAAAGAAACAATACAGACAAGGAGAGAGTGGAGGGACATAGTCAACAGACTCCAAGAAAACAGATGCCAACCAAGAATACTCTATCCCGCAAAGCTCTCCTTCCTCTATGAAGAAAGAATAAGGACCATCCCAGACAAGCAAACACTCTGGAATTTCATTACAACTAAACCCCCATTCCAAAAATACTACAAGGAGTTCTAAAGCCAGAACCTCAGAGGGACCGATAAAAACGAAAGAAGGCCAAAAAAAAAAAAAAGTTATTAAAAGAATAAATAAAATCAAAGGAAAGACAAACACAATGGCAAATACAGATGGTAACATATCAATATTAACTATAAATGTAAATGGACTAAACTCTTCAATAAAAAGACACAGAGTCGCAGGCTGGATTAAGAAACAAAATCCAACCTTTTGCTGTCTCCAGGAAACACATTTAGCTACAAAAGATAAAAATAGACTCAAAGTTAAAGGATTGAAAACAATCCTACAAGCAAATGGACCAAAAAAGAAAGCAGGAACAGCTATACTTATATCATATAAAACAGATTTCAAACTCAAAAAGATAAAAAGAAGAGACCCCAAGGGTCACTACATTATGATCAAGGGGACAATACTTCAAGAAGAAATAACACTCATTAACATATATTCACCATACGAAGGAGCACCAAAATATGTTAGACAACTATTGTCATCTCTGAAAAGAGATATTAGAGAAAACACATACGTAGTGGGAGACTTCAACACACCACTATCAACAGTGGATATGGATAGATCAACGAGACAAAAAATAAGTAAAGACACTAAAGCTCTAAATAAGGATGTAGAGCGCTTGGGCTTAACAGACATCTATAGAACACTAAACCCAAAAAAATCTGAGTATACATTTTTCTCAAGCGCACAAGGATCATTCTCCAAGATCGATCACATACTGGGACACAAGTCAAATATCAACAGATACACCAAGACCGAAATCATACCAACCATCTTCTCTGACCATGAAGACATCAAACTAGAAATAAACCATAAAAAGAAGGCAAGGAACTCTCCTACCTCATGGAGATTGAAACCCATACTTCTGAAAGGCCACTGGAATAATGAAGAGATCAAAGAAGAAATTAAGAAAAATTCTTTGAATTGAATGACAAGGAGGACACTAATTTCCTAAATGTATGGGATGCAGCAAAAGCAGTAATAAGAGGAAAATATATAGCAATAGAGGCTCACATCAACAAACAAGAAAGAACTCAAAGAAACAACCTAATCTCAAAGCTCAACGAACTAGAAAAAGAACAACAAAACAAAAAAAAAACCCAAAACCAGTAGAAGAAAAGAAATAATAAAAACCAAAGCAGAAATAAATGAAATCGAAACTAAAAAAACAATCCAAAAGATCAATGAAACCAAGAGCTGGTTCTTCGAGAAAGTAAATAAATTAGACAAACAACTATGAGCCAGAGACACTCTATGGGGGTTGGGGGGATGGGAGGGATTGGGGTCAAAATAAGAGGGTCGCAATTGTATGGGGAATATAAAAATATAAAAAAAATTATATATAAAAAAAAACAAAATTAAAACAAGATCACACTAACTACTGAAAAGAATAGGGAACAACCAAAAGTCTCAAATGTTTCTGGTGGAATTTAAACTATGTAACCACTTTGGGAAACAGTATGACACTGTCATTAAAAGTTAAATTATATAACAACTATTATAACCCATCCTATATACGCCTACATATTTAAACCATGAATAATGAAAACAAATCTCCATACAATCACTTTTACCTGAATATCTGTAGCAGTTCTGTAAGTAATATCCAAAACCTTCAAACCAAACAGCCATCAACTAGTAAATGAATAAAAAACAGTGGCTATCCATATAGTGGTATTCTACTCAGAATACAAATGAATGAAAATGATTAATCGATATATGCAACATGGATGAATCTCAAAATAATTATGCTGAAGTAAATAAACCAGACCTAGTAAAGAAGGCATACTAACTTATTTCTTTTATAAAAGTCCTAGAACATGCAAACCAAAAATTAACAAAAAGCGCAGTTAAAATGTGAAGGGCAGGAGGGCAGTATTATAAAGGAACAAGAAAATTTTTGAGGCTGATTCGTAAATTAATTATTTTTATTATTATGAATTTTTCCAGGTATACACAAAAATAAAAGTTATAAAAATGTTACTTTAATATGCTCAGTATATGGTATCCCAATTGTATTTCAATAAAGCAATTTTAAACATGAATAATTTAAACACTATTCCCAGAAGCATTTTGGTAATTTGAGAAGCCTATGTCCTAGGCTTGCCCCTATCTAATTTATCCAGTTATTTATATTGATCTTGTGCCTAAAAGATTAATAAGTAGCACATTCAGTTGATCGAAATGACAGGCAGAAAAAAAAAATACCATTACTTGCACATCTACTAAATATTATGCAACATAATAAACAGAATATTTAAAATTTTGTAAGAAAAAAAGTAATTATCAAAAGAAATGAATTATATTTTTTCAATAAAATACATTAAAAATGCACAAACAGGCAGTACTTCCACTGCCCACCTGTGACTATGAAGTTGCTTCTTTTCACCAACTTTCTCCCACTGCAGGGCAGCAGCTTCCTGCCTGCCTGTGACCTGTCAAGTCCGCCTACAACCATGCAGGTCTCTCTTAGGAAAATCTGTACCTTTTCCTTTTCCTAAAAAACCTACACTTTAAATATATATAAAAAAAAGCACAAACAGCACTTACCTCTTTGGACAATCTTGTGAAGACATCTCCTCCCCTGAGAAAATCCAATATTAAATACAGTTTCCCTTCAGTCTGAAAAGCTAATTAGAAATTAGAATTTAGTAAAAGAACAACATTAAAGGCTTAAAAAGCTTAGTTTGCTTTTAAATTTATATATATATGCTTAAAATCTTACCACTAAACATTAACAATTAACCATTATAGGCTAAATTATCACAAAATTAAATAGTGTTGAAAATTGCTGTAAATCCTTCCCATAACATAATCAACTTTGCAAGTGGCTTTACACAGAAATTTCTACCACCATCACTTTCCTGATTTATAAAGAGCACCATATTCTACTGCAACTGCCTGAACTCTGCATTCTCACCAACTATTGAAAATTGAATGATTCTTTCAAACTAAATACCTCCTTGATAGTCAAAGCAATCCTGAGAAAGAGGAACAAACTGGGAGGTATTATTAGCTCTGATTCCAAACTATATTATGGAGCTACAATAATGAAGAGCATAGGATTGACATAAAAACTAACACACAGTAAAATAGACATATTAGTCATCTTCAGAGAGGAGATACTGGCTCATGCCAGTCTCTTCTAGAGGGTGTCATCTGCACCTTTTCTTCATAAGAAACGTCAGAAAATATATATCCACTGAGGGATAGGAGTTCTATATTTCAACGTTCATTTGACGCAAACTATACCGATCTAACAAACACTACACACACACACACACACACACACACACACACAAGTAAAATTGTTTCTTGACATCTTTTTCTTGACATCTATTAACACTTGCATTTCATTTAAATTGTTCCTACAGTCTATCTCTGGAGTTCTTGACTAAGCATAAAACGAAAGCACTGTGTTTTAATTTTTGTTTCATTGACTGTTTAGAAAATCATGTGCCTCACATCATTTCAGTTCCCTCAACTATAAATGAGGTAGTAAGGACACACAGTATCTGGAAAGATGGACTGTATGTCTGTTAACAATTTTTTTAAAGACAAATAAGATCAGTGGAATGAGAAAGAGATTCAAGGAAAAAAATGCATATATGGTTAATTAATTTATAAGAAAGGACCAAGAATATACATAGATGGTAAAGAAGAGTCTCTTCAATAAACAGTGTTGGAAAAACTGGAGAATCACATGTAAAAGAATGAAAACTGGACTGTGATCTCATGCCATACACAAAAATTAACTCAAAATGGATTAAAGACCAAAATGTGTGACCTGAAACAATAAAACTCATAAAAGGAAATATAAGCAGTGGGCTCCTTGATGTCAGCATTGGCAATGATTTTTTGGAACTGACAGCAAAAGCAGTGACAATAAAACAAAAATAAACAAGTGGGACAATATCAAACTCAAACACTTCTGCACAACAAAGGACATTATCAACAAAATGAAAAGGTATCATACTGAATGTGAGAAAACATTTGCCAATTATGCAATTGATACCTGAAATACACAAATAACTCATATAATTCAAAAGCAAAAAAAAAAAAATCAAACAATCCAATTTAAAAAAATGGGAAGAAGATCTGAATAGACATCTTTTTCCAAAGAAAACATACAGATGGCCATGATTCTGAAAAGATGCTAAATACTACTAATTGCCAGGGAAATGCAAATCACAAGAACAATAGGGTATTGCCTCACACCTGTTAGAATGGCTACTATCAAAAAAGATAATAAACTAGAAATATTAGCAATGATGAGGAGAAAGGGAACCCTTGTGTACTGTTGATAGGAATGTAAATGGGTGCAGTCATTGTGAAAAACAGTAATTTGTGTTTCTTAAATTAAAAATAGACCTACCATATGATCCAGAAGTTTCACTTCTAGGTATTTATCTGAAGAAAATGAAAACACCAACTCAAAAACATACGTACACCCCTGTATTCATAGTAGCATTATTTACAATAGTCAGCACACAGTAACCCCATTGTCCATCTGGAGATGAACAGATAAAGGAATTGTTGCACACACACACACACACACACAGAGGGGGGAGAATATTATTCAGTCATTAAAAATGAGGAAGTCCTGTCATTTACAACAACATGGCTGGACCTTGAAAGCATTATGTTAAGTGAAATAAGTCAGACAGTGAAAAACAAATAATATATGATCTCATTTATTTGCAGACTTCAAAAAAAATTATAATACAGAGAACAGATTGGTGATCGCCAATGGTGGAATTGTGAGTTGAGCAAAATGGTGAAGGGGATCAAAAGGTACAAAATTTTAGTTATAAAATAAATAAATGATGGGGATACATGGTGGTTACTGTAGTTAATACTGTATTGTATATTTGAAAATTGTTAAATGATCTTAAAAGTTCTTATCATGAGGGAGAATGGAGATAGCAAAGTGTAGAGGGGTCTCAACAGACCATGGTGAAGGACTTTCAACGTCATGGTCATAGATGTTGTGTGGTAACATACATCTGAAGAATGTGATTCTATACCTCTAAATCATATACATTGTTGTAAACCAATGTTACCTCAATAAAAGTTAATAAAGAAATAAAAGCTCTCACCAAAAGAAAAATATTGTACCTATGTATGATCACAGATGTTAACTAGACTTAATATGATGATAATTTCAAAATGTATGCAAATATTGAATTATTATATTATGCACCTGAATGAAAATAATGTTAAATGTCAACTATGCCTCAATAAGTATCCTCTATTAAGCTTTCCCACAGCCCTCTTTTCCAATTTCCATACAGCATCCTTACCCTCTTCTCCATCAAATTACTTGCTACTAATTTTGAGATCTCATTGTACTTTATTTAAGCACCTTAGATACTTTATTTTTACTTGTACAATTAATTTATTTACATATCTGTACTTCCCTATTGATTATAAACTTCTTGAGATCTGAGCCAATTTTACACTGTAGCCCATACATCACTAAATACAGTGTTTTATACACAACTGGTATTTACTAATTAATGACATCATGGAGATTCAAGCATAGAGGTCTTCAGAGACTAGTACTTTTATTCCATTAGGACATCAGGGAGTGAAAAAATGAGTACGACTTTCTTTGTATTTTTATAACAATAATTTGGTACATATTTTAATGTTTTGTCAAAATAACAAAAAATAAAATCAATAGCTGCTACTACTTTAAATTGTTAAAATTCAAACCGACATAGATTTTCAATGATTTAGCAATGTACAGACTTTTGAAATTCCCAGGGAAGCCAAAGTCTACAAATTCATGCATTTATTAAATTAGCAATGGAACAATATTTCGAATTCAGAACTATCTGACTGCAAATCCATGTTCCTTCCATTATACCTACTGCTTTCTTAGTACATACTCTCCCCTCAATTATAAGAAAGAAAATAAAATGGTCCCCTTCAACAGAACCAGAAAAGAAGATTAAGAGGAGTGCAACCAAGCATCAGAATGTTTTACATAAATTATCACAGTAATTTATAGTCTAAGACCACTGAGTTGCAGTCAAGTACATAAATACTACCAGACAAGTAATCAGAAGACATTGTCTTGTTGCCTTACATAAGTTAACGATAAATACAGAAAATACAACTAAAAACTGTTTAGTGATCCTTATTTCAGATAAATCAATTTGACATAATAGAATGTAGTCTGAAGTGTTTCTTTCCTGCTACAAAATCTTAATTCCCTAATTTTATAAATCAAAAAAGATTACATACCATAGTGCAATTTGACAATAAATGGATGATTTACTTCCACCAGTATATCCCTCTCCATCTTTGTCCGAACTCTGTCTCGAACTGAAAATTAGAGAAGTGTAGAATATAACTCTTGAATGTAATTTCAGTGAGGATTCCACAAGTAATTTATCAACCAAAAATTGAAAATATAAAATGTAACTGTATTTAAAGTAGCCGAAACTGGACCTCCCCTGGTGACGCAGGGCGCGGCACTGCAAAGCTGTCCACAGCCTCTGCAGCGCCGGTTCAATCCCGGCCAGCCAGCAAGGGTCCCAAATGGCGCGGCAGACCTCTCCTGTCGTGCCTGCTGCTCCCTTCAGCAGTGTATTTCAGTCAGTCTGCCTAGTCTGTTCCCCACTCTGTCTCTGCTGAATCCTCTCACCCTCCCATGCATCTGGCCTGTACCCCGGTTCTTGTGTAAATGAATAAATGTTTTAAAATGAAAATAAATAAAAATAAAGTTGCCTAAACTGACAGTCTATATATTCCTATGTAATAATAACTATATTTGCAAAACTCCAACAAATTCTGTTTAGATGTATAGATGAGTTAAAGTGATAGGTATGTGGCTAACACAAATTTATTATCAATGAGTCGCTATTTGTCCAAATGAGTTCACTAATTAAAACTGAGCACAGTATTATTGTTATCAAAGTCCAGAAGACTGGGTATACAAGAATATGCAGGCACTTGTGCTTTCTCAACAAGTAATATCAACATGGAAGAAAAAAAAAGTAAGAATCTTGAAATGAAAGAATATAGCTTAATAAAATATGTTCACTTTAAATTTAATGTGTCACTTTTCATACAATTACATTTTTATAAGAGTACATTCTCACTAAAGCAGTATTTTTCTGTTCTGTTGAAAAATTTTGTTATCAAAGGTCTTACCTTACTCAGATTATGTCCAAATACATGTGTTATATGGTAATGGTTTGACTATGTGTACAATATTAAATACAAAACACTCATAATAGTTATTGGTAATGTAAACTGTTGAGAAATATAATTTGCATTTGATATTATGTCCCAATGAATTTATTTTTCTGTTCAGCATAATAAATACTATCCTTTAAGAAACTGGATATTAAATCAATATCAAACATATTAACATCACAGTCTAGAAAACTGTGTTATTAATCTTAAAAGGAAACCAACTCTACTTACCTTACAAACAATACATAGTATATTTGTTAAAATGAGGGCCTCCTCGGTGGCACAGGGGTTAAAGACAGCGCTATCAAGTTATCACCAGCCACTGCAGCACACATTTAATCCCTGCCTGGCCAGGAACAACCCACATGGCACAGCAGATTTCTCCCGTCTCGGCACCTGCTCCCCTCAGCAGTGTATGTCAGGGAGTCTGCCTGTTCTGTTCTTTTCCCCACTCTCTCTGGTGAATCCTCTTACCCCCTTGCACCTCTGGCTTACACCCCAGTTCTTGTATGCATAAATAAATAAATCTTAAAAAAAATAAAATGAGCTTTACCAAATTCCATTTTAATAAATTTTCCAATTTTCTACCTTTTAAAGATGCTTTCTTTAACACCTTCATTGCATAGAGCTGCCCAGCATCAGGACCAGTCTTCTTTCTAACAAGAAACACCTAATAGGGAGATTAAAAATAAGTAAAATTCACAATTCAAGTCATTCTTGCTATATACACACATTAGTATACAAATGTTCTTGCATTTTCTCTAATTTTATAAAGTTATGCATTACCCTATATATCATACCCTAAATTATAGTTGCAATGTTTTCTTACTTTCATTTAGAAAATCTGGCTCTCCAACATACCATAGAAAAGAAAATTTTAAAAATAGATGACATGGTCATAGATATTAGGAACTTGATGACATAAAAGAAAAATAATATAACGAAAGAAATTTGAGCTCAGAAAGCTACTTTTAGAACCCTGGCTACTGTTTGTTACCTTAATAAAAAGCAGGCAAATGTGAATGGTCCATTTTGGAAAAGACCAGTCATTTTGTTTTCTAATAAGACATCAGAAGCAATTCTTACCTGTCTTTCAGGTAAAGAAATCAAGTTAACAAATTATCTTAATGTATAAGTAAAATTTAAGATTCTTTCTTTTTTTAAATGTTTATTTATTTATATAAGCACTGTGTACAGTCAGAAGCGCGGGAGGGTGAGAGAATTCACCAGAGCCAGAGAGGGCAGCAGAACAGAGAGACTGAAGTACACTGCTGAGGGGAGCAGCAGGCAGCAGGACAGGTCTGCGCACCATGTGGGACCCTCGCCAGGTGGCTGGGGATATAACCGGCGCTGCAGAGGCAGCAGGCAGCTTCGCAACCCAATGCTCAACCACTGCGCCACCAGGTAGGCCCAAAAGTTAAATTCTTTAAAAGGTACCAGGTAAGCTTAAATAATAATTTCTCTTATTTTCAAATGAAGAAAATACACATTAAAAACTAGCTTTCTAATAAAGTCTTAGTTATGAAGATACATATGAATAGATTACCAGTTGTATAAAGGCTATTTATTATTAAATGGCTGTTTCCTTTTTGAAAATTAGCCAAAATTAGTTCACTGATTCAACTTGCCATCCCCAACCCAAATAAGTTTTATTAAACCACTGCTTAAATTAAAAATGTGATCAAGTAACTAATATGTTCAGAAAAAATTACAAGTGGGAAAAATGTTGAGTAATTTTTGTTTTGTCACTATCCCAATATAAAACTCAATACCCTTTATTGCATATATTTTATGTGGTAATTATGTATCTGTCAAATGGGGGAAGTGGTAGTCGTTAATTCAAGAAATTTCTGCTTTCCTCTATCCTGAAAGTAAAGCTTTAGATCAGACGTAAAGTCAAGAATTATTTGTTTTCTCATACATCTAGAGCAGTCCTTCTCATTGTTTCATGTAGTCAAACCAGTATCCTATATCCACCCCAGCTTTTCTCCAATACACTATAGAACGTGTTTATAGAACTGTAATACATTATTTAGAAAATATAAATTTACGTCATACAAAATATAATCATTTTATAAACTAATAGATACTACACATAAAATTACTATGCAAAATTTCTGTAAACATTTCAAATGCTTACACTCATACTCTAAATATACCTCAGAATAAAACAGTAACAAACACTTATACCACACTTGAAATAAGAGAATGCACAAAATAACAAATGGTTGGTTTCTACAAGAACAAAAGTATCTTCAAAAAATAAAGTTCAGGATAAATTAAATGTAAATTGTGCAGATGACCACGAATATTTTTGTATTGATCACATATATTTCTGTATTGAAAGATATGAAGAATTAAAACAACCCTATCTCAATTTCATATTAAAGATCAATTCTAAACTCAAAAATTTCCCTGAAACAATGAGTCTTTAAGAAGTGTCAGTCCTGCCATGGAAGATTTCAATAGCTTCATTCTATAGAGTTGTTTTTACTGGTTTAGAGTTGAAAAGGATATTCCTAAAAGTCCATATATTTTCGCTGATGAAAATGGTAAGCATTTGAGCAAAAAGTGTCACATTTAGCATATCTATAGCCGATCTTCAGTTTCCTTTACAAAATAGAAAGAATGGCTAGAGGTTTGCCAGCCTCACAAAGAAAAAATGGCAGAAAACACAAATAAATAGGATCACAAAAGAAAGAGGAGAAATTACAAAAGATTCACCAGAAATCAAAAGAATAATCAGAGATTACTATGAAAATTTATATATAAACAAGTTCCACAATCTAGAAGAGATGGACAAGTTCCTCGAACTATGTAATCATCCAAAGCTATATAAAGAAGAAAAAGAACAGTGAAACAGACCAATTACAAGCAGTGAAATTGAAACAGTAATCAAAACACCCCACAAAAACAAAAGCCCAGGAGCAGACTGCTTCACAAATAAATTCTACCAACATTCAGAAATGAACTTGTGCCTATCTTACACAAACTCTTTCCTAAATAATGAGAAAGGAATACTACCAAATATGTTTTATGAAGCCAACTTCACAGCAATACAAAAAGCAAACAAAGACAACACAAAAAACGAAAACTACAGGCCCATCTTCCTAATGAACACTGATATAAAAATCCTCAATAGAATCCTAGACAAAAGAATCCAAAAATGCATCAAAGGATAATACACCGTGATCAAGTGGGATTTACTCTGGAAGCACAAGGATAGTTCAACATCAGAAAATAAATTAATGTAATCCAACACAACAACAACAAGAAAAATAAAAACCATATAATGATATCAATAGATGCTAACAAAGCATTTGACAAAGTTCAACATCAGTTTATGATGAAAGCCCTCAAAATTCTTGGGATAAAAAAAAAAAAAACATTAAGATAATAAAAGCCAAATACGACAAACAAATAATTTTATTCTCAATGGTAAATAGCTGAAAATCTTTCCTTTTAGGTCAGGAACAAGACAAGGATGTACACTCTCACCACTGCTTTCCAATATAATACTGGATGGCCAAGCCAGAGCAATAAGACAAGGGAAAGACATAAAGTATCCAAATAGGGAAAGAAGAAGTAAAACTATCACTACTTGCAGACAACTTGATAATATATAGAGAGAACCCTAAAAGCTCTACAGAAAAACTAATTAAAATAATAAACTAGACAAAATCAACATACAAACATCAGTAGACTTCCTCTACGCAAACAATCTATCTGAAATTAAGAGGAAATTAAGAAAACCACCTAATTTACAATTGTACCCCCAAAAATCAAATACCTGGAATAAACCTAACAAAGGAGGGAAAAGACTTATATAAAGAAAATTATAAAACATTGTTAAAAGAAATAGAAGACACAAAGAAATGGAAAGATATTCCCTGCTCATGGGATTGGAAGAATTAACATGATCAAAATGGCTATCCTAATGAAAGCAATTTACAGATTCATCACAATTCCAATAAAAATCTCAATGTCATTCTTAAAAAAAAAATAGAACAAATATTGATGAAATTCATATGGAATCACAAAAACTCTCAAACAGCCAAACTTCTCTGAAGTAAAAAGAAGGTGAATGGAGGTATCACATTCCCAGACTTCCAACTATAGTACAAAGCCATAATAATTAAACAGCATGGTACTAGAACAAAAGCAGACAGACAGACCGACCAATGGAATTGAATAGAATGCCCAGAAATAAAGCCACACGTACATGGACAACTGATCTTTGACAAAGGAGCAAAGAATATGCAAGGACAGTGTCTTCACTAAATGGTGCTGGGAAAACTGGACAACATAAGCAAAAGAATGAAACTAGACCACTACCTCACACAAAAATAAACTCAAAATGGATAAAAGAATTGTACATAAGACCTAAACCATAAAATATGTAGAAGAAAATATAGGTAAAACACTACATGGCATACATCTCAGTAACATCTTTAAAGACTCATCCCCCAAAGCAAAGAATGTGAGGAAAAAGATAAACATCTGGGATTACATCAAACTAAAAAGGTTTTGTACAGCCAAAGAGACACTAACCAAACAAAGAGACATCCTACTGATTGGGAGAAAATTTTTGCATTCCATACAACTGATAAGGGACTGATATCAAAGATTTACAAAGAGCTCACAGAACTCAACAAAAACAAAGTCAACAATCCAGTAAAAAAAAATGGGCAGAAGGGCCTCCCCGGTGGCGCAGCGGTTGAGCGCTGGGTTGCGAAGCTGCCCGCAGCCTCTGCGGCGCTGGTTCGATCCCCGGCTGCTCCCCGGCCACCCGGAGGAGGGTCCCACATGGCGCGCAGACCTCTCCTGCCACCCACTGCTCCCCTCAGCAGTGTACTTCGGTCCTTCTGCCTGCTCTGCTCCCCGCTCTGGCTCTGGTGAATTCTCTCACCCTCCCATGCTTCTGACTGTACCCAGTGCATGTATAAAACAAAACAAACAAATACATAAATAAATAAATAAAGCATGCCTCTATTAAAAAAAATAAATAAATAAAAAATAAAAAAAAAATGGGCAGAAGAGCTAAAAAGACACTTTTCCCAAGAGGATATGCAAGTGGCCAACAGGTACATGAAAAGATGTTCTACATCACTTGTAATCAGGGAAATACAAATCAAAACCACAATGAGATACCACCTTGCACCAGTGAGAAAGGCACATATTAAAAAAAAAAAAAAAACCTAGCAACAACAAATGTTGGCAAGGATGTGGACAAAAAGGAACTCTCCTACACTGCTTGTGGGAATACAAAGTGTCCAACCACTATGTTGAAGGGAGCCAGGGTAAAAAACCAGGTGACACATAAAGGTAATCCTAACAGGCTGACTTCAGGCTTCTTAGAAGAAACACGATCAGAAAGAAAAAAAAAAAAAGAATGACATATTAAAAAGACTCAAAAATACAGACTTCAGGCTAAAAAAGTGTCAAGAGACACATGTGGACACTATATAATGACCGAGGGAATGATATATCAGGAATACATAATACTCACAAATAAATAACTCACCACAAAAGGGAGCACCAAAATACATTAGACACTTACTATACTCTCTGAAGAGACATGGACACTGGAGAAAAAATAAATATGGTAGGAGACTTTGACACTCCAGCTCAAGCACTGAGAGATCAACGAGACAGAAAATAAACAAAGAC